TTAAAAAGACTGAAAATACATAGTGTTGGAGAAGGTGTGGAGCAACTAAAATTCTTATAATTGCTTGTGTGGAATGCAAAATGTTACAGTCACTTTAGAAAAGTTTGGCAGTTTCTTATAAAAAGTTAAACTTAACCTTCCCATATGACCTAGCAATCCCATTCCTAAGTATGAAAATGTATGTCCACATAAAAATTTGCATTCACAGGTTCACAGCAGTCTTTTAGTAATAGCCAAAGACCAGAAACAAGCTAAATATTTATCAACTGGTGAATGAATAAATAAACTGTGTTCTATCAAATCAACGAATACTACTGAGCAATAAATAGGAACTACAATATCTCCAACAACACGGACAAATCTCAAAAACAGCACGCTACAGGAAAGAATGTGAACCAAAACACTACATACATATTTTAAGATGTCATTGATATGAAATCCTAGAAAAGGGAAAACTAGTGACAAAGAGCCAATCACAATGGTTGCTAGAGGTCAGAGGTGGAGAAAAGGAACTGACTGCATAGGAGCATGAGGAAGCTTTTTGGGGTGATGGAAATGTTCTAGATCATAAATGTGGTGGTGGTTAAACAACTATATACAACTGTCTGACTCAGAACCATGCATTTGAAATTGGAAATCTTTTTCTCTATAAATTCTACCTAAATAAATAGAAAGACCTGGTTCTATTAAAATCCTACATGGAATATCAGAGTGTGATTTAAAAAAACAAAAACTATGAGAGGATACTAGAGAATTTCTTAAGTCGTTTTGGCAGATTTTTAGGATGTTCTGTAAGTAGAGGCCAAGGAACAATGGTTAATAAAAGGTAGTCCTACAATCGTCTATGCAAAAAAATGTACATACATTTATATCTTCCCTCCTCCCAACTATTAATATCACTTCTAAACTACTTTATTTACAGCAAGTACTCTTTTTGATGAAGAAACTATCAAAAAGAAACATTAGGTACACAGTTTCAAAAAGGAAATATGAAAAAGTTCTAGAGATGGATGGTGATATTTACACAACAATGTGAATGTAATTAATGCCATAGGACTGTACACTTAAAAAGGGTTAAAATGGTAAATTTCATGTTATGTATATTTTACCACAATAAAAAATGTTTTTAAAAAATTAGAAAAAAAATAATTCTAAGAAAACTTACATAAATCTAGAAATCCACAAGAAAGTTACATTTTAAAACAGTTCCTTTTATTTAAATGATAAAGACTGATCTCTTTCTCTGAACTGTGCACTCACAAAATCAAGCTTAAAAGTGGTTATTGGTATGATGCTACTAGTTAAAGGAAACTGTGCTTACCAACGATTTTAGAGTTTATTTATAATGTTTAGGGCTCTACCAAAGTAGTTTCTGCTTATAACAGTGAATAATTGAGTTATCTACAGTAGACAGGAAAAACATTACAAGACAAAGATCAGATCAGAGAGCTCAGATCCAAAATGGTTATTTGGTGGCCTAAATACACGTATTTTGTCATCTAAATTAATCTGCAAACAGACCTCAGCACAAATACTAAAAACATGCTAATAGAAGCCCTAAAGTAGCTGTGGTCTAAGGTAAATAAGGTCACTCAAGAACTGCCAAAACAAACATCTAATTTCATGCTATTTGGGGAAAAGAGAAAGCCATCTGTGCAATTCATTGTGGATAAACTGCAGTCTAACTGGGGCTAGAGATCTGTCAAGTACAGTTGTTACGATTGTCAGTACTTATGCTATTAATTGATAAAATCAGAAAATTCCTGGATGTAACACCAAGAGATGGTAGAGATGCAGTAATCTACCTAAGGCTGGCAGGGCATTGTTATTGAAAAACAGCATTAATAGAACCTGGGGAGTCATTAAAAAAAAAAAAAAGCTCAAAGGCTGCATGCCTAGAACAAGGAAAGAATGAGTGTGTTTGAAGAAAGTTCTATGCACAATCTGGGGAATGAGTTCTGAGTTAAAGCCTCGACAAATTTTAGGAGGGCAATTTCAATCTCAGGTAGAGAATGAATTACTGGTAGCAGTGATGGTAGCAGCAGCAGTTGGTAGCAGTAAACTCTTACACAGTGCTTCCTATTTGCTGGACACAAGTTCTAAGCACTTTAATTGTATTAACTTGTTTAATCCTTGCAACAACATTGTGAGGCAGGTGAACCATTTTAGAGAGATGAAGAAATACAGGGAGATCTGGTAACTTTCCCATTGTAACCCAGCTGGTAGGTGGCAGAGCCACCTCAGGGTGTCCTGCTTCATTTCCAGAGTTCTTGCTCTTAATCATATTATTTTGCTTGTCTTTGGAAAATAACAGTGTTTTCCCGGGAACCAAGAAAGTTAAAAGGAATTGCTGTAATTGTATACTAGACTAGAGAGAAATATTTTTAAAAACTAGTAAGAAATGAAAAGTTTTCAACATTTATTAAATGCCTACCACGTGCCAGGCATTTTACATTTTAGCATAGGAGGCAACTGACTACACCAAAGTAAACAGAGTTATAGATCCCCAAATTTACCATTAACTTGTATTTTTAATAAAATTTACTAAATGATTTCTTTGATTTTAAAAGGCAAAGATATATCACAATAATCAAATGCAAAAAACAATCCGATTACACCTTCACAAGAATTCAGTTCAGTTCTTTCAAAACCAAAAAACCAAAACATAAAACATTTATGTACCAGGCATGATGCTAGCTAGGCACAGGCACAGAAGATGAATTTATTAAAAATTAAAGAAAATGGTCTCTTGTTCTCAAAAATCCTAGAATCTACAATAATCCTTTGTACTTATCCCCATTTTACATAGGAAGACACTGCTCAGGGGGATTAAATGATCTGTTTAGGGTCCAAGCTAAATAGCTGAGATAGGATTTGAACTCAAACCCGTCTCACTATAAAACCTATATACACTTTTACTCTACAGCAAGCTAACAGTGTTTCTGAGTATAGGAACTAGAAAAAATTTTCAGCTGACTTCATATAACAAGTACAGGGCACCTGGTCTCTGTTTAATATTTTAGAACTGTTTCATGTTAGTTGAGAACTTGAAAAGGGGAAGTGTGAATTCTAGACTAAATCTTGGGTTACAAACCTCACATAAATTGAACATAGCACAAGTACATTGCAAGAGTCACTCATGTTGTAAAACAGTTGAATATTTTAAAATACATATTGCAGTAGACTGCAGGTGGGTGTGACTCCACTGGAAAAATGGAGAGGGGTGTTAATTCCAGGAGTTTCCAGTCTTTGGAATTGAAATCCCTCTCTTTTAGATCTTGTAGGCAGGTGGGTATAATAGAAAGTTACCCAGTTAGGGTCCAATAAATAGGAATTGGACCAGGAAGTCCTCTGAGGGCTGCCCTTGGTACCTGCTCTGTCAGAAACCCATTTCTATAGTAGGAAAAAATGTACTGATATAACTTTCAGCTGTTTACCTAATAAGGAACAAGATGTTAAAGATACCGTGCTTTACAAAGAGAGGATCCTATTCAGAGTGAGATGTATTGAATTAATCCAGCTGTACACCACTGCATTCAACTTTGGAACGAAAAGTATGCATTTATGACATGGCTTAGGTTTGAGGGTGTATCCTGGACCCACTTGGCCACCTTCAAACTACTAGCTTAGATTTGTTAAATTATGCTTTGCCCAAACTGAATTAACCAGGGATAAATGATTTTGAAAGAAATGTTAAGGGAATGGCTGAGTCTCGAGAAATGAATTCAAAACTGTGTTTTCAACATGGTTAAAAATACCTGAAACTTCATCTCCATCATGTCCTAAAAACATTTAAGAACTCAGTATGTGCTCTTAAAAACTGTACAGTATAAAAGGGAATAAGAATTATCAAATATAAGACATGTTTAAAAAATACAAAAATGCATAAAAGCATAGGTACTTACATGTTCATAAAGATAATGTCAATATATAAAGATTTTTGGGTAATAGAAAAATAGACTCAGAATCAGTTGAAAAATTCTTAAAGCAGAATCAATTAAAGTTAGTGCTCTGCCAAACTTTTCCCAACTACATTTTATAGGCCTTAATCATAAAAGAAGATCTGCTGACATAACAAGGCATAAGAAGTAATTCTCAGAATAATTTGATTAAACTCTTCAAAATTACACAAATTTACATGTAAAATTATGTTTTGAACTCTAAAATTTGCTGGCTAGTTATCTTTTAAAAATTATTATCACTATGTTTTTGCAGTTTAAGATCATTTTATTGAGTGGCAAGAGGTGGCCAGGGCGGGGGAGCAGCTACAGATGTCCTTCCCCACCTCCTACCCCTGTACTATAGGGGGATTAAATTTTTAATTGTGGTTCAAAACATGTAACAGAAAATTTACCATCTTTAAGTGTAAGTTTAGCAGCGTTAAGTATATTCACCATGGCGCAACAGGTCTCCAGAACTTTTTCATCTTGTAAAACTGAACTTGCTACTTCATCTCAAGTGAGCACTAAGACATTTTAAAACAATATGGATCAGCATATCTAGAAAGCAAAATATATTCAAATCAAGGCATACTATGAGGATATAATTTGGACAGAAACTAGGTGACAGTTTGACTCTCTTAAGCAATTGTTTTTTTCAGAGTGAATAAAGTAATTTTGTAAATAGTTTTTTTTTTAATTAAGAGAATCAATTTCCTTAAGGCCAGAGATAACATCTTATTCATGTTTACATCCACCTTAACTATATATTTAATAAACACTGTTGATAGCATCAAAGGAAACTATTTAAATACAAAGTTTCATAATCTAATTCAATTTATTCTTACCTATTCAATAAATTGGTTCTCTAAGAACCACTATCAGGAATACTCTGTTAGTCTATGTTTGTACTATTTTTTAAAAACTTCCTTAAAAAAAATTAATAACAATTTTTTAAAGGAAATAAAACATATTAATTCAGGTTTTAAAATTCCCAGTTGACTGTGCTCACATAATAATCAGCTCTCATAAATGGTATATAAAGATAAGCTTTCTACTTACCATGTAGTTACCGTAAGCATGATCAAACATTTCCAGTACTTGATTCCTAATTTTAAAAGAGCAGAAATGGGAAAAAGTTAAGTATATTCTATTTATTGTCTTTCAAAAAGTTAATGCTCCTTCATAAACATATACCAATAAAAAACAAAAGAAAAATTTAGTTAGGAAGGAACACAAACAGGGTCAGGAAATACACCCATGTTAGTAGGCAAGCTTTCACGAATCACGCAGAGATGAGCCAAACTTTTCCTATTCTAGCAATTTATGTAAAAGTCATTTTATAATATTTCCTAAGAAAACTGCTGAATGATACATGCCATGCAGAGAAGAAAATCTGATGATGAAAAACAATTACCTCTTAACAAAATTATTTAACATAAATGTCTTGAAAGGGGAAAATATTGAAGAGACCCAAAAGAAATAATTGTTATCATTTATTGCTTATACTATACATTCTACCAAAAGAAAGGGGTTGGTGTGTGTATTGCTAAGAAATAACGATACTCTATGAAGCCTCTGCCTTTCCCCTTAAATGAATAAGATCACTAATGCCTAGTTTAACACATTTCTGTTTATGTCTGTCATATTTCCAAAAGATACATTTTATGATGTACCTTTGGCTCCTTTAAAAAACTTTGTCAAAAGTCAAATAAACAATATTTACCCCTGATATGAGAAAACTAATTCTCGAAAAGAGATCTGTGTATTTTGGCTAACTCTGTTTCTCAAAATCCCCAAAATGGCTGTGTAAAATGGAAATTTCTGATCCCCACGCCAGATTTACTAAGTCAAAATCTGTAAGATTGGGACCAAGGAATCAGTCTTTCAATTAAACACTCTCAAATTGGGGGAGTGAGGGTTATAGGAAAAACTGCAAAAAATGTTATGGCTAGGCAAGGCCAAGTCTCTCAATAATTAGCAGAAGAAAAATATTTTAATAATCTTTTATTAATTCTTACTATTATTCCCAAAGTTCCAATCACTAATGGCAAGAATTGAAGAGAATATTAAAGAAAATGGCTGGATATATTTTTACTTTACCTCCTGTTATATTGCAATTATCATTTTAAAAATTGTAATCACGGATGATGAAATACTGGTAATAATATAGCTAGCAGACAGAAAAGGACTAATTTCCAGATCCTGGCTATAATAACCAGCAGAATCAAGTACACTCAAACTTGTGAACTGAACAAGCTAAGTCCTGACAACTTTTTACAAATAATAATCATTTAAAAACACCTAATCATTAACAAGGTGATAAGTCACTTTGCCAAAACACTAATTCTTTATATGTTTATATGTATGATAGAATATGGATCAAGTTATCTCAGAAAATTACAGAGTATCTCAAAAAATCCTTCTAGACTTTTTTTTATTATATTGCAGGTGATAAAGAGCTCTCAAATTAGCTAATAAACAAACCAAAAAAAAAGGAGCCAAATTTTCCCTTCAAGCACTGATATCAATAAATGGAATATGGAAATTCTCTTTTCCTTCCCCTGAAATAGAATTAATACAAAATTGTTGTCAAGAAGTAAATTTCTGTAACTGGTAATAGTAGGGCCTAGACACGTGTATTACAGGTAACATAAGCTTTAACTTGTTAACCCAACTTTGCAAGCATTCAAGCTTCAAGACTATGAATAAATCACGACTGCAAACAAGGACACATTATTTTCCAATCCTTACATTCATGCAGCACATGATCATCAAATTTCACAACAAATACTTCAAAGTGAGGTATTTAATATCCAGTTGAGCTCTCTCTCTTTCCTAATTACACATATAAGTCCTAACACTCATTTAAATACAGAATGGCAGAATAATTACTATATTATATAGAGATTTTTTTTCTATAAGGTTTTATATCTATTCAACAACTGGATAAAAATGTATTGGAAATTAGATCTATAAATCAGCTTTTTCTATAGTTACATTGCTTGCCAACATGCTACAGAAATTGAACTGTTTTATACTTCATTTTTTAAGTAAAAACATTAACAACTTTTGTAACATTTAAAACACAAAAACAAAAAATGAATTCCAGGAAGTATAAGACTACATATAACCAGGTAAATAATTCCATAAACTATAAACTGCAAGCAACCGAGCAATTGCTTACTATTCATGATAATTTCAGTCTTTATCATCAGTTTAGTTTGGGCGGGGGGTAGGGAAAGGGATAGGCATTTTGTTTTTTATCATAAATCATTATTTGGATTTTCAAAAAAAATTGTACAGGTAAACCTAATAAATCATAGTTCCGTTTCCTGAAAATTCCTGGATGAGAAAGCAGTCAAGCAACGTGTATTTGTGGTTTGTAGCTATAGACTCTTACTCTACTCTTACCTTAGAGTAAGGCAATCTAAATTAACAAGCCTAAATAACTGTAACTTCACTTTCATAAATGATCTCAAAATTTGAGCTGAAATCTCAAGCCAATTTGGTTGGAGCTCTAGAGTTAAAAATTTATTTTGGTCAAAAATGAGTTATCCAATGACTTTTCTTCAAACAAAAATTTTTAACAAAAAAAGGAGAAAGGGGAGTTGTGATCAAATAAAAATACTTGCTGTCCTTAACAGACTTGAAGCTTCTCTCTCCAAGTCTTATGGAAGTGTAGCAGAGTGGAGTGAGCACAGGCTCTGAAGTCATACAGACCCGGGTTTGAATACTGGCTCCAACATTTACTTAGCTCTGTAACGTTGAACAAGTCAACCTTGAGTCTCAATTTCCTCATCTGCAAAATGGGGATCGCATCCACCTCATTAAGAAGTAGAGAGGATTACAGAGATAGTATATGTAAAGTGCCTGGCACAGAGTAGGGTATTCAGTAAAGCAGTTATCAGTGATACATTAAATTCACAAAGAGAAAATTTAAGACACTTATTAGAGTTTACTGGTAATTTTGTTTTGATAACTGACACTTTAAATTTTCCAACAAGTGTCTTTTATTGCTATTTTATTTAAAAACTAATACAAGACTCTTGCAACAATTTAAACAATATGGAAGTCTGTATATGTCGATAAAATAAAACCTGATGGTTTGACCTCACCTCCATTGTAACTCCAGGAGGTAGTCATCTTTCCATGTTTTTCTGAGCTTAAACAATTTCTTCTCCGTTTTTTTGTGTTTTTTTTAAAATATGGGATACTACAGATAGTATTCTACAGCTTACATCTTTTTGGCCTTGGGAGTATATTCTGGGTAGCCTTCCGATGACCTAACTCCTCCTTAGTATCTGAATATTATTCCATAATATGGATGCTCCAAGGAACAGCTCTGTTCTTTCAAAATGCACATCCCTGTACACCTATCTCTACTTTAATAGTGCTTTTATTTCTGTAGGATAGATTCCCTGAGATGGGATTAATGAATCAAAGAATACATACAATTTAAATTTTAGGAGACTGTCAATAAATTACAGCAATTTACACTCCCACCAAGTTTCTTCTCATACCTCAACTATCCAGTCAGTACTCCATCCACGTATTGTGTTTTGTATTTACCAGCCTGATGGCAAAAAACCCAGCTATTTCATTGTTTTAGTCAGCATCTCTCACATTTATGAGGTTGAGTAACTTCATGTTTATTGACCATTTGCATTTCCTCTTGTGTGAATTAACTCTTCACACCCTTTGCCCATTTTCTACTGGTTCTTGGCTTTTTCCTTATTCATTTGTGGGACCTGGTGTGTATTAGGAACACTTACTCTAAATTAAATGCTGTACATATAACGTATGATTTTATGACTTTCAAGACTGATAAAACTACTTTGAGTAAAGTGAATAGGTATATTTAATTGAGGCTTTTGAATACTACCATCAAATATTGTTCTACTATGAAAATGCAGTGCAAAAAACCACTGCAAGGAAATGGTAAAATGTGTAAAGTTCAAGTTCCAATGAACGCCCCCTATTCCGTAACAGGTGTAAACATGATTTCCTTAACTGCTGTGAGATCAGCAACATTTCCCACCTGGGAGCTCACTTGTGCAAGAAATCTAACCACGTCTCTGATGAAAGGCAACCTCGGAACTCTCGCGCGCAGGGAAACGGTGTGTAGCCCCCCTCACGGGCCAGTGACATGGCAGCCGCGTTGACACACCGCGGCTGGCCTTAAGGAGCCTGCACGTGTCACAGACGGCCCGGGCGACACCCCGACAGTCCCGCGAGGTAGCATCGCGGGCGGCGACCCCCACTTTCCCGGACCCTGTCCACCCCGCCAGGGTTCTCTCGAGGTAACAGCCGTCCCAATCGCGACAGGAGAGGCCACTGGGCGCCCGGGTCGCAATGACAGGCACCTCGCCCGTGGTCAGCCTCACGAGGAAACCCACCCCAGGCTTCCAAGCACCCTTACCCAAGCTTCTGTTTCTCCTCCCTACTCATGGGCGAGGCCCCCGCCGTCCACACGGACGTGGCCGACACGAGGCAGAGCGCGGCCGTCGCCGCCACCAGGCTCCATGGCGCTCGCTGGGGGACCGAGTACCCAAAGCCCCGGCCGCCGCCGGCTTCGCTCATGGCCCCGCGGTTCCGCGCACGCGCAGCTGCTACGCCCGGCCGGTGGGACACATTGCCGGACGCCGGTGGCAAAGGAGCTGCGAGCCGTGTCGAGGCCGGGATGCGGAGGAACGCGAGCGTCCGCCGTCGCCGAGCTGCTTCCCGAAGCCACTGAGCCGGTCCCTAGCGCCAGCGCTGCCACCGCCCTCCGCTCTCAGCAGCCCAGAGCACCTCCCCCAGCTTTCCGGTGTCGTAGTCTAGGAAACCACCTCCCCAAACGCTACTTCCGGGTAGGGCCCAAGACGCTGAGCCTCAAGGCCAATAGGGGCCGGATCGGAGAGGGGCTGGCCCGGGGGACAGGAGAGAGCATTGGCTGGGAGAAGTGAGACGTGGACAAAAGGCGGGACCGGGGATGGACCTTTCGCCTCGGCCATCCTCCGACCCGTGAACTTGAGGCCTGAAAACTACCGCTCCCAGCGTGCACTGCTTCCTCCGCGGCTCTCTCGCAATCCGACTCCACCGGGCTAAATTTCCACTCTGGGTGGGCGCGCTGCACCCTGTGACGTGTGGTCCCCCGAGGGGCTCGGGCGGTTCCTGCGATCCCTCCTCCCCCGGCTCCCTGCAGCCAGCCGCCCTACTCCGTGGGCTGCCGAGTCCCGGAGAACCCGTCAGCTCTTTATCCCTCTTCCTACGTGTGCGTTTCGCTGAGGGCTGGCAGGATGAGGCTCAGACGGCCTCAGATCAGTGCTGCACGCCTTAGGGAAAAGTAGTCCTATTGGAGTAGTCTTCTACCTTCAGGGAGATTTCAATACTGTAACAGCAAAAATGAATTGAGCCTTTGACGGCAATGTGCTGAGAGTTTTACTTGCATTCTCTCATGCACTCTTCTCAACTCTAATAGGTGAGTACCACCACCGCCCCCATTTTGCAAACGAGGAAACCGAGGCCAGAGAAGTTAGGTAATGAGCCTCGTCACACTGCTGGGTTAGATTCCAACCAGCCTCTGTGACTTGGAAGCCCTTGCATGTAACCACAAGAGTGAAGGAGGGCACGGGGGGGCCTCGTACTTGATTAATAATAGTCATCTAGAAAGCTCAATGTAAGGAAGCTAGTGTGAGCTGCAAAGAAAGTTTAATGAAAATTGGAACTTGCAATTAATTTTGATGGCCGAGGGAAAATGAGGAGTAAAATCCCCTTGAAAAACCACACTGTTTTTCTTGTGTAATAATTCAGTAGGTAGGTGCGGAGTTTAGGAGCTTGGTCGTGACCTCTGTGACCACAGGAAATCGCTTACTCTTACCCTCAGCAGCTCAGCTGTTCTTCCTTGATTTCTATCATCTTACATCCTCTGCTTCCCAATCAGACCGACCATTCAGGTGACACCAATGACTCCTCGGCCTTTATTACCCCTCTCTGTCTTAAAATTTTAAGGTTTTCTTTTCGTCGGTTTCTCTTTGTACCATCATATCCCTGTGGTTGATTTCTAACTCAGTGTCTGTCCTGATCTCCAGACCCACATTTCCACCTCTCCAATAGAAATTCCCTTCTGTCTGGCCCAAGGGTAAGCTCAAATATAATAATGTTAACTGACTCAATATGTCAGAATCATCTTCAACTCATCCTCCTCCTTCACAGTCTATGCCCAATCACTTGACAATTACATAGATTCTACTTCTGCTATCACTACCTTTCTTTCTACTCCTGCTTCTGCTCAGTTCAAGCCTCCATTACCTCTTTCCTGAACCATCACAATAGCCTCCTAAATTATCTCCTTGCCACCCTAACTTTTCTCTACATTGCTACCAGAGTTGGCATTCAAGGACATGTACAAACCCTCTGAACATGTTATCTCCCTTCTACCCCTGCCCTGCACTCAAGTCCTATGAGAAAACTAACAGATTCTCATACTATATCCTTCCTATGCCTTTGCTGTTACCATCCCCTCTGCTGTCCCACCATCTTTGTCTGTAGAATACTCACTACCCATTAAGTCTCTGCTCAGATTCCACCTCCACAAAATCCTTCCAAAACCTTCCAGCCATTAGACATCATCCTCCCATTGTATTCTGTGTCCTTATTATTGTGTTTTTCACAGTCAGCCATGTCCACTACATTGTGACTGCATGGAGGGTATTGACCTTACCTTATTTATATGTATGTTCCAAAACTCAGCACTGTGCCTCTCATATTACACATGCTCAATAAATGTTGGGTATACTTACCTGTTTCCTTATCCCTTCAGTTTCCGTATCTATAAAGTGGGAATAATAGTTCTTATCTACTTACATGGAGGCTGTGAAAACACATGAGGTCACTTCTGTACAATATTTCATTTTATCCTTTGTACAGACCTGCAACCCTATGTTGGTCCCATCCTGGATCCTCTTTGGCAGCTTTAATGATGAAGTTAGCTAGGTAAATAATACCTGTGAATTGTTCTTGGCTCTGGCACAGAGAACACGGCAAGCTAAAGGTCAACACGAATCATTCAGAATTTGAAAACTAGAAACAAAGAAAATAGAAAAACAGTCAGCGACCTTCAATTATATTGAAATGTGGTCAATCTTCTTTGCCTTCCTGATGTTCCAATCCTTTATAAGAAGTCAATATTGACTAGTAACTGTCACTGAGAAACAATGTTCTCAAAAAGAAAAAGTACTGGCTTTTAATGTGTAGCATTTTCTGGGATTTTTTTCCCCTTGGCTTATTTGTTTTTAAGCTAACACTGCACTTTAAAGGTGTATAATGATAACACAGAACGTATTCTTTGTTGACTTGCTAAATAATAAGCATCTTTTTCTCTCTTACTGAAATTCAATTTCTAGCCAATGGTTGAGTCCATTTTTCACTAATCTCTGCAAAACCATAAGGATAAAAGCTGTGGCCTAAAAAGCATTGCAAGTTAACGTATCTAAAGTGGAGCCTGTGGAAGTGAAATAAAAATATATTAACAAAGTGCATTTCAAAAAAGAACCCATTTAAACCCCTTACTGGAAATAATAGAAATTCTTAGCTCACTGGCACTTTGTGAACACCAGGAAAGTTTGACATTCATTATTTCAAAACCTACACACAGTATTTTAGAACTTATATACTTAGTGATAAAATGTATATAGGAAACACAACCTTCCGAGACTGAACCAGGAAGAAATAGAAACTATAAGCAGACCGATCCCAAGCACTGAAATTGAAACTGCGATTAAAAATCTTCCAACAAACAAAAGCCCAGGACCAGATGGCTTCACAGGCAAATTCTATCAAACATTTAGAGAAGAGCTAACACCTATCCTTCTCAAACTCCTCCAAAATATAGCAGAGGGAGAGACACTCCCAAACTCATTCTACAAGGCCACCATCACCCTGATACCAAAATCAAAGATGTCACAAAAAAAGAAAACTATAGGCCAATGTCTCTGACGAACATAGATGCAAAAATCCTCAACAAAATACTAGCAAACAGAATCCAACAGCACATTAAAAGGATCATACACCATGATCAAGTGGGGTTTACTCCAGGAATGCAAGGATTCGTCAATATATGCAAATCAATCAATGTGATACACCATATTAACAAATTGAAGAGTAAAAACCATACGATCATCTCAATAGATGCAGAAAAAGCTTTTGACAAAATTCAACACCCGTTTATGATAAAAACTCTCCAGAAAGTAGGCATAGAGGGAACCTACCTCAACATAATAAAGGCCATATGTGACAAACCCATGGTCAACATCGTTCTCAATGGTAAAAAACAAACCATTGCCACTAACATCAGGAACAAGACAAGGTTGCCCACTCTCACCACTATTATTCAACATAGTTTTGGAAGTTTTAGCCCCAGCAATCAGAGAAGAAAAAGAAATAAAAGGAGTCCAAACTGGAAAAGAAGAAGTGAAACTGTCACTGTGTGCAGATGACATGATACTATACATAGAGAATCCTAAAGATGTTACTAGAAAACTACTAGAGCTAATCAATGAATTTGGTAGAGTAGCAGGATACAAAATTAATGCACAGAAATCTCTTGCATTCCTATACACTAATGATGAAAAATCTGAAAGAGAAATGAAGGAAACACTCCCATTTACCATTGCAACAAAAAGAAGAAAATACCTAGGAATAAACCTACCTAAGGAGACAAAAGACCTGTATGCAGAAAACTATAAGACACTGATGAAAGAACTTAAAGAAGATACAAACAGATGGAGAGATATACCATGTTCTTGGATTGGAAGAATCAACATTGTGAAAATGACTCTACTACCCAAAGCAATCTACAGATTCAAAGCAATCCCTATCAGACTACCAATGGCATTTTTCACAGAACTAGAACAAAAAATTTCACAAGTTGTATGGAAACACAAAAGACCCCGAATAGCCAAAACAATCTTGAGAAAGAAAACGGAGCTGGAGGAATCAGGCTCCTGGGCTTCAGACTATACTACAAAGCTACAGTAATCAAGACAGTATGGTACTGGCACAAAAACAGAAATATAGATCAATGGAACAGGATAGAAAGGCCAGAGATAAACCCACACACACATGGTCACCTTATCTTTGATAAAGGAGGCAAGAGTATACAATGGAGAAAAGACAGCCTCTTCAATAAGTGGTGCTGGGAAAACTGGACAGCTACATATAAAAGAATGAAATTAGAACACTCCTAACACCATACACAAAAATAAACTCCAGGGGTTTCCCTGGTGGCGCAGTGGTTGAGAGTCTGCCTGCCGATGCAGGGGACACAGGTTCGTGTCCCGTTGCAGGAAGATCCCACATGCCGTGGAGCGGCTTGGCCCGTAAGCCATGGCCGCTGAGCCTGTGTGTCCGGAGCCTGTGCTGCAACGGGAGAGGCCACAACAGTGAGAGGTCCATGTGCCGCAAACACACAAACAAAAACTCCAAATGGATTAAAGACCTAAATGTAAGGCCAGACACTATAAAACTCTAAGAGGAAAACATAGGCAGAACACCCTATGACATAAATCACAGCAAGATCTTTTTGACCCACCTCCTAGAGAAATGGAAATATAAATAAATGGGACCTAATGAAACTTAAAAGCTTTTGCACAGCAAAGGAAACCATTAAAAAGACAAACCTCAGAATGAGAGAAAATATTTGCAAATGAAGCAACTGACAAAGGATTAACCTCCAAAATATACAAGCAGCTCATGCAGCTCAATATCAAAAAAACAACCCAATCCAAAAATGGGCAGAAGGCCTAAATAGACATTTCTCCAA